GGGGGGGGGGGGGGGGGGGGGGGGTTGTTGGGTGGGGGAGGGGCAGCCAATCTTTCCTGCTGTTTCAGTATTCTGCCCGCCAAATCTTCCGGGCACCCTCTTCCTCCCCTCCCAGGCACCGGAAGCATGCAGAAATGCTGCCTCGCCCTCAGCTGGCCAGTGTTCGGTCTATTGTAAGATTGAGGTTTGGCTGCAATTCACCGTGTCACATGCCTCACACAACCTCTTTCCCTGGGACTTTGCGAAGGGTCCCGGCTGGGAAAAGAGCCAGTAAGGGGAGGTGGGGGCTGTCTTCCCAGCAGCTCTGCTCTTGCCACAGTCAGGCAGAGGGGGGCTGGAGTGGGGGCAGCAGCAACCGTGGCGGCAGGAGGAAGTGGGGAGTCAGCTGCTCCTTGCGGGCTGGAAAGGAAGAGCGAGGTGGCGGCAGAACAGCTGCTTGCCTGTTTCTGTCCCCTGGGTGCTGCTGGGTGAAGCCCCTCTACCTCAGGTAAACAACACGGGGCACCTGTGCCCCCCCCCCAAGCGAGGGCTTGGCTCCCATTTGGACTGCGCTCTGCTACCTGGACCGAGGTCTGCATTGGCTTGGGGAGCGGAGGGCACACCCACCCCCTCATCCCCCCTACCCCTTTGCCTCTCTTACCCATCCTTTGGCATGGCCGAGCGAGAGAGAGGGGAATCTTTGTCTTGAGCAGGTAGGCACCTGGCCTCTCTGCTGCCCCTGGGATTGGCCGTGCTGGGGTGGCCAAAGCCATATCCAACGCACCAACCTGGGCTGCCCCAGAGCCTGCAAGATGGAGGTGGGTGGGGCAGGCACTAAGGATGCCTCTGGGATGGGAGGGAGGGGCTGGAGGCATCCCTGCACGAGGCCTCTCTCGGCTCCACTGACTGGCCCCTCATCGGCTTTGCTTTGCGGGGAGGGCAGCTTCGGGGTCAGGCCTGCTTGGGCTGATTGAAGTGGGAGATCTGGCTCCAGTGACCAAAGAGTGGGGAAAGCCAAATGCAAAATGTATGAGAATCAAACGCCTTGGAAAGGAAGGGAATCTGCAGATANGCTGAGGACTCCTGTTTGAAGAGATGCCGGGTCAGTTGGACGGGGCGGGGGGGGGGTGGATCTCTGGAGTTCAGGTGTCTGGAGCAGATGCGAGACTGGCGCATGCTGTGCGCATTGGTTCTGAGGGGAGGCTGAAGGCCTTTCTGGGGACCCCCCCCCCTCTGTCATGTGACAGGCGCTAGCACCAGCACCTTGCACTCTCGTTTGGCAATTTTGTCCAGGGAAAGAGCAGCCTTGTCGGGGGGCAAATAAAGAGGGCGGCCCACCGGGGAGCCCACAGGGGGGGTTATGGCCCGTCGCTCCATGACGCTTCCTGACCTATTGGGAGGGAGAGGGAGGAGAGAGATTAGCAGGGTTTCCCCTGACAGCCCATCCCTTTCCCTCCCAGCTGATGCCTGCAGAGTCTCTCCAGCCACTTCCTCCCCTCCCCATTAGCTTCCTCCACAGCACCCACCTCAGGAGGTGTCCCCGTGCCGGCTGCTGGTGGGAGAAGCTCTGGGAGCGCCCGAGGCTGGCTTGATGACGCCCCACCAGCTCCCGCACTGCTGGGCTCCCAGGGCTGCTCTTGCGGGAGACCGGCCGGGCCTCCGGAGGGGGGTTGGACACGCTGGCTGTGAACTGGAGCTTCAGCTTCATGTGCTGGGACAGCTGCAGCGGGAGGGGGGGGGGGAGGGCGGGAAAAAGAGAGGATAGCCGTCTTGGTTGGTCTGCGATTCTTCTGCTATGCAATGTTGGAATCGGATGTAACCCAGATAGGTCATCCGCAATTGGCAGGGGGATCCTGGTTTGTTGAGCCAACTTGTCCAGCATGTGGGGACATTTACCTCAAACAAGCCGGCACGCAGAGCCTGAAACGTGACGCAGAAGGTCCGGGCGCTGCCCTTGCGGGAGAATCCCAGGTTATTGAGAGGGGTGTGGCACACAATAGAGTCTTGAGGGTCTGGTGTGGCACGGCATTCGTCACAGGTATTCTGCTTCTTCCCTAAAGGACCAGGGGGGGGGGGGAGAGCCGAGCAAGAGCGGTTAAGGGGGGTCCGAAGACCCAGCATGCTCCCAAAACCCAACCAGTGGAGGGGGGGGGTAGAGGCCTGTGCAGCTCCCGGCCTGCCCTCCCAGCTGCTGCCCTTCCCCTCTGCCTGAAGAGGAGCCGGCCATCCCGTCCTCCCAGGAGGCCTCCTCTACCCTCCGCTCACCTGCGGCAGCACTTTCTGGCGTCCACACCAGGCGCACTGCCAGAAAGTCCTGCAAGTTGTTGATGAGTGTGTACGTAACTACGAAGCGCCGATGCAAGGCAACTGGCGACTCGCATTCTGCAGTCATCACAAACCTGGGACGGGCAAGGCGGATGCTGGGCAGCCTAGGAGGGAAAGCGAGAGAACTCTTGGCAGTCCTGTGCTAAAGCCCTCGAGGCCTTGGCTTACGTGCCCCCTTTCTTCGTATTGGGGGGTGGGGGTGATATTCAAATGATATTCAAAAAGCAATAAATTAATTACGAGATGCTTTATGCAAGAAAACTTCCTGGAGAAGGAATCTGGCTGCCAGATAATACAGTCTGGGGAATTCTGGGAGTTAGAAGTCCAGAAGTCTTACAGTTCCCAAGTTTGGACACCCCTGTACTAGACACACAGAGAGCGAGAAGGCCAGACGGTGCCATCATTTGTACCTGCAAATCATCGGAAGAATAAAGACTGACTCCAAAAGAAAGGTAGAAGCTTCCAAGGAAAATGGCAGAATTTGAAGTCCCCCTATAGAATCAGGGCTACCTACTGAGGTAGAAGCTCGGATATGACACACACACTCTCTCTATATATATACACACCTGTGTACACGGATGTATGGTACGTATCAGTGGTGGGATTCACTTACTTTCGCTACTGGTTCGCAAATGTGAGTGCGCTCACTCGCACGCGCTGCCTTCTGTGCCATGTGCAGAAGGTCGCGCGTTACGTGTGGGTGGGTGGGCAATTGCTACTGGTAAGAGCCGGCAGAATGCCACTACTGATATATATAAACTCTTTGAGAGCAAGGTTGGCGTCTTCCAGCCCTTCGTTTACGCTCATGCAGACAGCTGCACGACACCGAAAGCTCAGCCTTGAGCCCAGCAGCACCCAGCCCAGTTTTCCTGCTGGCTCTTCCACCAGAAAGGGCCGCTTGCCAGGCAAGGGCTCTGCAGTGGTGTTCCTGGAGCCTCAGTCCACCCAGGGCCGCCTCCAGGTGAGACCTTTGGGAGGAAGGTGGAGCTGTGGACACACAGCCCACCTGGATGTCAGCAAAACATTTCATCTGCATAATGAACCCCTAAATAGGTTGTGCAGGCCAGGGCTTCACCATTGGGTGGTTCAGCGGCTGATGGGAAGCTGGCTCAGGGGCAGATGATCCCAGAGTGGGGGTCCGGTGGTGGTCAACAGAGACCTGCCACAAGCAGCGGAGCACAAGGCCTCTTCCGTTCAAGGGGTTTCTAAGTGGCATAACAGTTCCTGGGGGTGTTCATAACATGGAAAAGGAAATGGCATTGCTGCAAAATTGGTCAAAAACATGGCAAAAGGCGCAGTTGAGTGTTTCTGAACGTAAGATCAGCCACTCCGGGGGGGGGGGAGGAGGGTACAGTATTGGGTGTACAGGGTCAGGCAGAACAACAGAAAGGAAGAAGGTTGGGGGTGCTTAGATGGCTGCAGAAGGAGTAAGCAGTGTGGCCAGGCAGCTGTGAAAGCAAACAAAATTTGGGGCGCCTCCCTCATCCCCTGTGCCAGCCAGGCTCCCCTCCCAGGCGCCCTGAGGCTGGCCGTGTCCCTTCCGGACCGGAAGAGGAGCTGCTCACCTGTAGTGCGTGTAGATGCTGCTTGTGAACGGGAGTTTGGGGGTCGACCACTGCAGCACCGCAATGAGGGGGACCTCCAGGCCCTGAAAGTGCCAGGGGAGAATGAGCGGCTGCCCCCTGCGTCCCTCCCCCACTCTGCGCTGCAGGTGCCCGGGCAAAGAGGGCCTGGGGGCGGGGGGGACACCTCACCTCTTTGGTGCTGTCGGGGGGCTGCTCTGGCGCCTGCAGTTGGAAAAGGAAATTTTGCTCCTCCAGTGCCCGGAGGGAGCAGGGCCAGGCGGAAGTGGTCGAGGGCACCTGGCAAAAGGAGGCCATGGAGACTTCGCCAGATTGGTGGCTGTGGGGAGGCGGAACAGAAGCAGCGTGAGAAAAAACGGCAACCCTGCCCCCTCCCCCCATACATGTGCCTGCAGACCCCAGCTTCCCTGGCACACCCATCAATTCTTGGTCTCAGGGCAACGGAGTCCTGCTTCTGGCCACAGCCGGGCTGGGAAAAGAGGAGGTTTCTGCCATGCAAGAAGCTCCCTTTTGAGCTCCCGGGCATGCAGGTGGCACCCCTTGACGCCTGGCCTCGGCCTTCCCTGAGGCAGCTTCTCCTCCTGCCTCTTGGCGGCAGCCCAAGTGGGCCTTCCAGGAATGAGACTCTGAAGGGCTCCAAGAGTCAGGCACGACCTTCCACCCTCCCCCTCCCCAGAGAGCAAAAAGTGCATTTATTTATTCTGCCTTAAGAACAAGGTAGGGAACATATCCAGCACACCTTCCTCCTCCTCCTCCTCCTCCTCCGATTTTCCCCACAACAAAACAACAACCCTGTGAGGGGGGCTGGGCTAAGAGGGGGGGAGCGGTCCAAAGTCTCTCAGCTGCTTTTCATGCCTCAGGTAGCTCCAGAGCTGCCTCCTGGCTCCTTGCCTGGGGATTTAACCACTAGGCAGACTGGCTGTAGCTAAGGCCCTGCTGTGGGCTCGCCCAAATACCAGCCCTGGAAGTGCAGCTCAGAGAAGGGTTGGATTTGGGCTGCTCAAAGGTAAACAGCCCGGTTTGAAGAGTGGGGAATGTCCCTTAAATGCTCCCTCAGACAGGCAGGCAGGCAGACTGGCCCTCTTACCAGATATCATCCACTAGCAAGACGGAGCCGTCGGGCATCATGGGAAGGTAACTGGCATTCAGGTTGGGCAGGATCCGCACGTCCCACACCGAGAGCTCGTCCTGGGAGGCAGCATTCAGAACTGGGGAGGGGGGAGGGGAATGGGGAATATGGGCCTTGCCTGGAGAAGAGGGGGACGGGGGGGGCACCTGCCATGGGAGACCCTCCCCTCCCCACCTAACAACTCACCTTTGAGAACCGTCAAGTGCTTCCCAGACACGTTGAGTTGCTGGCACTTCAGCTCCGGGGGAGGCAGCACAGTCAGCATGGTGCTCACTGGAAAGCAAGGGCAGAGAGGGAGGCATCAGCTCTGCCCAGCCCCGGTGGGAGGGAGGGAGGGAGGGAGGGTGAAGGCCACCCGCCCGCCTGCCCTCCCGCTCACCTTGCGCCTTGAAGGCGCCCTGCTCTTCTCGGAAGATCTGGGAAGGGGCCCGATCCTGCAGGATGCTGAGGTAGCCGCGTTCCCGGACCTCGCCTCTCTCCTGGTCGCGCCTCCAGACGGTGGCCACTATCTGCGGAGGAACCGGCATCAGTCCTGGGCAAGGCCGCCCGGAGGGCGCTGGCCGGAGCAGGGCAGGGCAAAGGGGGCGGGCTTACTTTGGCCTTGAGGGTGCTGGGCGGCAGCCTGTCCAGAGAGATGGTCAGCGGAAAGATGACTTCGTCGATGGAGACGATGGGCTCCTCGGGGGTCACCTGCGGGAGGGAGCCGAGGGTCAGGAGGGTCCTCGGGGCGCCGCCGGCACCGCCGCCGCCGCCCCGCTCCCGCTCTTACGGCCTGTGCCGTCGTTCCCGGGGCGCCGTGGCCGTGGGNGAGGCGAGGCAGCCCTCGGCGTCTCCCTGCTGCCCGCCCTTTCCTGGCCAGCTGCGCGGCGGGAGCCTTGGGCGCTTGGCGGCTCCCGCAGCGACTCCAGACCGGCTCCTGCCAGGGCGGAGCGCTTGGGAGAGCTTCCTTCGCCCTTCGGCGTTGGCGACGGGCAGCTGGGAGGGAGGAGCGGAGGCGCCGGCGGCGGCTTCCTTTCCTGGGCCCAGCGTCTGACTACAGTCCGCGGCTGCTCTCTCCTTCCAGGTTTTGGCTGAATAAATGTAGTTTACACGTACGAAATAATCCACTCGGATTGAATCCGGCGGACTGAAAGGCTCGGGACGCCGCCTGTAATTGTCAAGATTTCTGAATAAATCCGGCCCAGCGCAGCTTCCTGGCCCGGTTCCTCCTCCTGGAATTACAGTGGGGGTCAGGAAGTGCTTCGTCCCCTGAGCAGGTGGGTATTGCAAACCTTTTTAAAGTGTTAAGCAAAAATCCATGCGACCCAAAGGGGTTTTTTTTGTTTCTTTTTTGCCAGAAGCTGCAAGTAAACACTGGGACCGGGTCAAAGTGGCCAAAGATGGCGATGTTCGGACGGCGGGATGTTGCAAACGGCCGCAAATGTGGGCTACTTGCCAAGCGCCCAAAACTGCCGTCGGGAACTCCGGAAGCGACTCGCCGGGATCTCTTTGCGGGGCTGTCCCCTTGGGACCCCTTGCAACAGGGGGGCTGACTTGGAGGTTTTGACTTTCTCAAGGACTCTCGAAGATGCTGCCCGTTTTGGAGGGGGCAAGGAAGGCTGCCCGCTGGCTTGCCTGGTAACAACTTTTCAGATATATTTAAGCCATTTTATTTTATGATATCTCGCCCCTCCCAGACCTGCCCCCTCCCTCTTCAGGACAGCTTTTCAGCAGCTCTTGGGGGGGGGCGATGGGCTTTTGAAGTTAATGGCCTCAGGAGACAGGCATCTCTCTCTCTCTCTCTCTCTCTCACACACACACACACACACACACACACAAACACACCCCTACTAGGGCCAGGAAGTGCCACCTGAAAGTTGATTTTTTCTTTTCTATTGTTATGGCCATCATCACTGTGCCCAGATTCAGAGCAAACTGTTCCAGTTGTGAGAGATCGGTGTGTAGATAAAAGGAGGAGCTGCTTCATGCATTGCCTTTCTGGGGGAAAGGTGGGTGGAGGGCTGGCAGTGAGAAAGCCCCACCCAGCCATGCAGCTGGGCAAGAGGAAGGCCAGGGGTCGGCCATGGGTGACTTCTCTGACCATTGGCATTTCTCTAAAGCACAGATCCCCCCCCCAGAGCAGAATCTTGGTTTCTAAGGAGAAAAGTTACCCCAAGAAGACAAAACAAGTCAGGCTCAGACTACAGCAATCAATTCATATGTTTTAATTCTTTATTCTGTTCTCCTTTTTGAAAAGGAGCACAGTAATTGTTCAATGGGAAAAAAGATCTAAACAGCATCACTGCCCAAAATGCCGGAAAGAGCGACTGTAATTCCAGAATTCCACGGTGTGATTGATGGATTGAACCAGGGGTGCCCTCCTAGCTTTTGGGTTCACCTGGCTATTGGGCCCAATAAAGAAGACAGGTGCAAATCTGAACGACTGCAGAGCAGCAGAGGTGATGATGAGCCTGAGGTTCCTGATCTCTCAGTGTGACCTGGAGATGGTCCAAGTTCCAGCCTCGGACCTGCCTCCCTGTCCAGCAGGAAGACCGAGGTGGCACTGCCCTTCAGTGGTTTCTTCAGCTGGTGGAGAGTTGGGCGCACTCTTCTCCCCAAGAGTCAGCCATGCCTGGTTCAATGGCGGTCAGAGCGTTCAGCATGTCATGGTGTAGTCCTGCAGCGGTTGTGGATGATGGGTGGGAGTTGGGAGCCTGGAGGCAGCAGCTTCTATGGCTTCACAGCAGCAGCAGCCAGATTCTGCCGGGAACACCCCCGGCTTCCTTCCCAGGGTTCTGTGGGATGACAGCGATTTCTCCACCCCGCCCTTTTGCATAGTTCAACCTCGCTCTTAAGGGGCAGCAAAATCCAGTTTTTACTTTCACTGAGTGGCAGCCGGACTACGGAGCTTGTGCAAGGGGCAGCTGGGCCACAGGGGCCTCCCAGGAGGAGGCAGCAGGAAGAGGCCGGACACTCACTCTTGAGGCTCCTTTTTTCAGGCTAGAAAGAGAAACGGCCCTGGGGTGGATAGGCCAAAGCCTGGCTAATCCCTGCACCCCTGACCAACCCTGACGCCCCAGCAGGATGAAGGCCCTAACCAAGTCACCCCACTCCTCGGTCTCTGGCTCCGGTCGTCCTTCAGGCTGCCTGGAAGGTCTGCCGGCCTGGCTGAAGTAGAGCTGGGTTCAGGCACAGCTAAAGAAGCTCTGGGAACGGCCTTTCTCCGGAAGCCTTTTTATTTCTTGCAATTCATTATCCTATATGCGAAGCTCTCCATAATTTCAGCCCTTCTGGTTGGGTCACATAACTCTGAACGATTCATTCTTGAAGCAGTGATTGTTTCCTATCCTGGGTTGGTCGTGTGTCTTCCTGGCTTCCAGTGCAGTGAAACTTCAGTGCAGCTTCATTCCCTCCCAGCATTTGCCAGCAACGGTTCCACAGGTCCTCGGGTTTTCGCCCCAGGTCCAACCCTGGGATCAGGGTCCCCAAATATGGCCCTGCTGGCCAGGTCCTCAGGCCGTCCGCATGGCCCCCAGAGCCTCTCAGCCTGAGAAGTCTCCCGTGCAGCCTCCTTTCCCCAAGGAGAGACGGACATGCAGAGAAGAGCCAGCAAGCCCCGTGGCGGCCCCAGCTCCCCTCACCCTCCAGGTACAAGCCCCACGGCCTCTGGGGCGAGACAGTGGCATGGGAGAGAAGCAGCCAGCCAGCAGGAGCACATGGTGGGCCAAAGGCTGGCGTGAGAGAGCCCAGCCCCTTCCACACAAGAGTGCTGGTCTGCCAGGCTTTGGAAGAGGCCTTGTTAGGGTGGGAGGGTGGAAAGTACTGAGCACGGGCCAGAGATTGTGGGGGGGGAGGGGGAGTTGTCATGCTCTTCCTGGCCCAGTCATAAGAAATCCAATTGTGGAAGCTCCCCACATGAAGCTGCCGGGTGTGCCAGGGAGGGTGCGTTGCCCTGTCTGTCTCTCAGTGTTAAACAATCCTGAGCTGTTTAAAGAGAACCGACAGCCTTTTGCCTCTCCAAATATGGGAACCTCTTCATTTCTCTGGCATCGCCTGTCCCTGCAGCTCTCCTGGGGCCCCTCTGCCCATTGTGGACGGGGGGGGGGACGGGGGTGTCTGGGAGAGCACCACGGGGGGGGAGGGGGAGGCATTTTAATCAGACGGGTTCTGCCAAGAGCTATTGTGAGTGCCTCCCCCTCCCCCTCTGGGATTGCCCCTCTTGTGGGGGTGGGGAAACTGCTTGGCATCGAGGAGGTCCTTGTACTGCAGTTCGGGAGTAACCATCTGCTGACACACGACCTGTAGGCCAGATGCCAGGCTGGGCTGTAGGGCATAACCAAGGATTGGCACCTGCCCAAACTGGAAGGGGCGGATGTGCTCGTCAGCAATGTGGCCTGGCTCCAGCGGTCCCCCCCCCTGCAAACAGCGCCGCATAAATTCTGCCCGCTGCTTTCGGAGAACGGCCACTTCCCCAGCCATGCGGGCGGTGCCAAAGTGTTTCACGCATGCCCAGAAAGTGCGGTTGAAGTGAGTGTAGAGGTGCCAGTCCAGGTGATTCCAGGCACGGAGCTGAGCTGCATCGCCGCGGCCCAGCGGGTGAACAGCCTCTGGATTGCGCAGGTTGTGCTGGAAAGCCACCACATCCTCAAAGCCCCAGCAGAGGGCGTCACGGAGCAGCACCAGCGACTCATCCATGTATTCCGTTAGCAGCACCAGGTGGAAAATACGATCCAGGCCCAGCAGAGCAGCGTGGATGGTGGCTAAGACGGGGCTTGCTGGTGGATCAAGGCCAAAGTCAAACCAGAGCAGGTTGCGGGCATAGTGGCTGCCACGCTCCCCGGGCCGGTAGAAGTTCTGTGGGGAAGCCAGGAACTCCGGCAGTGAGCGAGCCCGGCGGAAGGCGGGGACCACACCCCGGTAATAGGAGAAAGCCGATTCAGCCAAGGAAGCCGGGTCCCGCACTATGGAGAAGTAGAAACTGTCCGTGGGCATCACCTTCTGGACCTGGAGGGGAAGATGGGGAGGTTAGTGTTGATGCCAACCACAGGGGATACCCATGGAAAAGATGAGCTCCTGCCTGCCTCCTCCTGGGTGAAAGTTGGGGGCCATCCGCTAACAAAGATGGTTGGGGGCCAGAGGCTGACTGTAAAACCGTTTAGAGGGGGCTGCGAAGCCCAAGTGCTATTTGCTATTTAGCAAAATGTGCACAGGCCTCTTCCCCCAGGCCGCCCCCTCTCCTGGCACCCTAGGCAGCCCTTCTTACATGCCCCACCTCTTCCCTGCCAAATCCCACTCTGGAGGAGCCTCAGCTGGCAGCCTCTTGAGAGACATGAGGCCTTACAACCCCAGCCAGAAGTGGGGCTCCCTTCCGGCTATGGCAACAGCTGGGAAAAGCCCCTTGGAGGAAGGAAGAGCCTTCTGCGTGCGCCCCTCCTCCCGCTCCCAGCCCCCCTTCCCACCTCCCCCCCCCGAATCCTGCCTGACTGCTTTGGACTCCTCCCACACACCTCAAGCAAGTTGAAGCGCATGTGGTGGCAAAGGATGTCGAATGGGGGCCCCTCGGGGTGCCACCCTTTTACACGCCGTGCCTGGAAAAGCCTGGGGTAGTTGAACTGGTAGCCAGCTGGCAGGGCGAAGCGTAGCGATCTGGTGTCCCCAAAGCGGTGCAGGATGTTGACCAGGGTGCTGCTGGCGGTCTTATGGGTCTTCAGGAAGACCAGGTGTCGCCGCGGCTGGCAGGAGGGGAGGGGGCTGGTGGGCTCTTCCTCCCCCACCCCCGCAGGTTCCGCTGAGGGGACCAGAGCAGGCAGGGGAGGGAGCAGCGGAGCCGAGGAGACCCTGCTGGGAGAGTTTGGAAAAGGATGAGCCCACCGACAAAGGCACCGGCTCCCCTTGGAAGCAGAAGGGAAGCCTTTCTCGCTCTCTCTCTCTCTCCTCTCTCTCTCTCTCCCTCTCTCTCTAGGCCACAGCCGAGTGGAGGGGGCTGCCGACACCTTCTCCCTTTCTCTCCCTGCCTTGGGCTTCCCCACTGCTCTCCCACTCAGCTAGGTTTCACCCTGCGAGGACCCGGGTTGACCCTCCCACTGAGGCTCTCCTGCTGCCCGGCCACCTCCGCTCCCTAGCAAGCTCTGTGCGCCCAGCCTCTGCCCGGCTGAAACGGAGGGAGGGAGCAGGCGTTACCTCTTCGGAAGGGAGATGCCCAGGAGCTGAACGGTGAAGCCGATCATTGTGCAGACGGCCAGTGCGATCCAGAGCAAAGGCAGCCGGCAGCAGCAGCACCACCGCTGCCACCTGGGGAGGCTCCTCATCTTTCACCCTGGGGGGGGGGGGCAGAGAGTTAGTGGTGGGAGAGACCCTGTCCTTGGCAGAGCCCATCCCTGGACCTTCAGGGGCAGCCCTACCGAGGCCTTGCAGGGACCCTCTTCCCTCCCGAGGGTTTGCACCTGGCTCACCTGCAAGGCAGGAGGAGGTTCCACGGCTGCCTTTTGGACCTGTCCCCGTCTTGCAGGGGGTCACCTGAGCAGAAGTCAGACGCAAGCAAGCAACCAGTTCAGATCTGCCTGGCCTGGCCTGACCTGCTGATCCCCTGGCTGGAACTTCCTCCTCCCCCCCCCCCCCCGCACAGCTCAAGCCAAGGCAGCCGAGGTCTGAATCTCCAGGTGACCACAAGGTGACCTGAGAAGAGATGACCCTCCAGTCACTCCCAGATTGGGGGGGGCAGGATCTCTAAGAGGTCCTTGGAGGAGTCCTCCCCCCCCCACCCTGAAGCCAAGCCAAACTGCTGACTGGATGGTAGGCTCCCTTGCAGTCCCAGGCCCTCTATATTCATCCCCCCCTCCTCGTTATTCATGGCCAGGGCAAAGACGGGTGGAACAGAGGGCCGAGGCTCCTGTCCTTGGGCTGGTCTCACTGGGCAGGTTTACAGTTGCGCAGACTTCTCAGAGCCCTACAGCTTGGGCAAGTGAAAGGGGCCCGCGCTTGGAAGCCCACCATACCGGGGGGGCGGGGGAGCCCTCTATGAACCCCTTCCGCCCCTAAAGAGCCTCCTGCTGCCCGACTCGCCTCGGGGCCGAGGCAAGCTCTTTTCTCCATAGGAACGCCCCCCCCCATCGCGCCCTTCCCCCCCCCTTGCCATTCATCGGACTACCCGCTGCCTGTTCGGTGCCAGAGCCCAGCAGGGATGAGGCCGACTGCGCACCCACCAGCTGGAGGCCTGCACCCACCAGCTCTGCAAGTCAGCCCCGCGTGGGACTCGCTGGAAAGCCGGAGCTCTGAACCCGTAGCCAACCCAGCGCCTCCAGAGCACGTGCAGAGCGCCTCTCGGGAGGAGCCTCCGCCGACCCGTTTCCGCACACCTGGGTCGAGGTCTCCGGAGCTCCCCAGCGCACGGCCGACCTCAAGCCTCTCGGAAGGTGGGGGGTGTCCGCCTCGGCCCCTCCGCCCGCGGATCCTTCGGCGCCTCCAAACTTTTCCCCGTCCGCCTCGCCGAGAAAGAGCCGGAGGTCTAAGGCCGATCCCTGCCCTTCCCGCGGCTGCCCGGTTCGCCCATTGGGGGCAGAGCGAGGGGACGGCTGGAATCAGCGCCGACACACGATGGTAATCCGGAGCGGGGGGCAGGGGGGGCGCTTCCGCCGCTGGGTCTCCTCGCCCCCCTCTTCTCCTCCTTTCTACTGGCCTTCTACCTCCGCCTCTTCTCTCTCGCAAACTTTTCTGGCCACTCGCGCTTTCTGCCCGCCCCGCAGCATTCCGTGGGCCTCCCGCCCCCCAATCCCTTTGGCTCCGCCCAACCTGCTTCTCTTTGTCCCCCGCTCCTTAACACCCCCCTCCCCCCGGCCTAAAGGACAGGCGGGAGGACGGGCGAAGGCGAACCTCGCCGCTAACCGCATCCATCCCTCCGTCTCTCCATCCGCCCGCCTCGCCTCGCCTCGCCTCTTGGACTCGAACCGCGCCAGTCGCTTCAGACGCCTCCGCGATTCCCCCTCCCCCCCCCGCTCAGCCGCCTTTCCCCGAAGCTGGGTCCTGCTCCGTCCCCTGCCCTTACCCGCTGCCCCGTCTGAGCCCTCCGTGGGGCGGAAGAAAGGCGGCCTTTGGCTTCAGGCGAGGAACCCCTGCTGATCCCCGCCTCGCCTCTTTCAAGGCCGACTGAGGAGTCTGCAAACGGCCGGTGTGGGTCGAGGGCCAGCCCCACTGATTTCTTTACCTCCGGGGAATGGTCCCATCTCCTTTTCCGCCCCTGCTGAAGCTGGGCTCCCGAAGAAAGCCTGGCTCTCTGGCTCTTCCCATTCCTTAAGTAAACTGGACCCATAGGTACAATCCAGCAACTCACTAGGGAAAGTGCCTGGTGGGAATAACTGACCTGTGAGATGGTTCAGGGAAGCCACCTTAGAGGGGGAGCAGTGGAGGGATCCAGAGGGAGTTGACATTGGGTAGTTGGTGCCCCAGAATTTCCCTCCCAGCAATGACAGCTATGCCCCCACAGCTGTGGCTTACATAATCCTCTGGCATTTTCTTTGGATGCAAACAGCAAGCAGCGGGAGAGAGGAGGGCTCCGGGGGGGCCTGGAGGGGCTGACATGGAGGTAGGGGCGGGGGCAGGCTCTGCCTCCCAGGACTGGCACCATTGGTGCGCCTGTGACCATGTCCAGCTTCTCTGGTCAGAGCTGGAAAACCTTTGAGAGCTGTTGAACGCCAGCCTAAGGCTTCATTGGGCAGGGTGAGGTGGTACATGCGGGTGGCATTTAGGCAGGTGAGAGCGTAGCAGCCGGCAGGGCTGGTGCCCCCTCCTCCAAGATGGTCGGAGGGGGCTGGGAGTGCAAACTTGGTGTCCTAGGGCCAAAACCCTGCAGGGGTGGAGCTGAGCTGGCCCTACCATATTCCTTTATTTATTATGAGCAGGCACTAAATCCCCACCATCTGCCCCACTCTGAAATGTAGATTTGGGGAAATGGGTTTTTCAGAATAAATATCTATGCCTATAAGACCCACAGAGGAGCATCAGAATCGGAATCAGGACTAGAGACAGGAAGCCTAAAGACAGGCTTTGCCAGGGATCCATTCACCAGACCCCTCCAAAACCTGAAAGACCCATTGGCACGGGGGAGGGGAGCTTAAAGGTTCAAAACACTGGAGCAAATGCTTCAGAGACAACAGTTTTCACGGGGAATTAGAACAGTCAGAAAGCCCTGGAGTTTTGCCCCCCCCCCCCCCCCCCCCCCCCCCCCCGCNTCTCTCTCTCTCTCTCTCTCACACACACACACACACACACACACACACACACACACACACACATCCCAGAGGAAGATCTTCTCTTCTAAGACCCAGAAAGCTTTAAAAACCTGGCTTTGATATCAACTGAATGATTGGTGCTTTTCATCCCTCTTTTATTTGAAGATTTTGTTAGCATTCCATTGGTTTAATGTTTTTCCTTTTTTAATGTTTTTTCTAGTTTTGTATGTCAACAGTCTACTGGGGTTGGACAGCCAATGAATATAAACAAACAAACAAACAAACAAATATTAAACATAGCCTTACTTGTCATCCATTCAGATCTTCAGGAGGAAGCCAAAACAGTAGGATCAAGTGTATTCCTGTCTAATCCATTCCTTATGGGAGTTTCCCCATGTTTCCTAGAGATAACAAGGACTGGGGCCTCTTGTCTACAAAACCTCTCCTCTGATATTAATTATGAGCCATAGCTTAAGAATGCAGCAGTGAAAAAGGCCAGTGTGATCTTGGGCTGCCTTCATGTTAGCGTTGCATCTACACTGCAGGAGATAGTAGTGGCTGTCCTCTGCAATGAGTAGATTGCACTTGGAGTGTTGGGTCCAGTTCTGGGTGCTGCATTTTAAAAGGGCCCCGCGGAAGCTGGAGTAATTTCAGAGAACTGAGGGGTGTTTAAGCTCCCCCAGATGACTGGGGGAGAAATGACAATGTTGTACAACAGGAGTGTCAAACTCAAGGCCCGGAAGCCGGATCTGCCCCCCCGGATTCTTAGATCTGGCTTGGGGGCCCGCCTGGGAACAGCAAAGGACCGGCCCATGGTGCATCTGCCAGCGAAAATAAGCTCCTGAGCTCCGTTTTTGGCTGCGACGGCTTCCTGCAACCCTCTGCCGGAGTGCCCTTCCGAGCTCCATTTTCTCTGGCAGAGGGTTGCAGGAAGCAGTCGCAGCCGGAAATGGAGCTCAGGTGCCCATTTTCATTGGCAGAGCTTTGGGGCCACCACAGGCACTCCCGACACGAGTGATGTCAAGCTGGCCATAGTCACCACGACCACCATGGTCCCACCAAGGTCAAACATAACCGTGATGTGGCCCTCAATGAAATTGAGTTTGACACCCCTGTTCTACAATAAAGCTTGTCATATGCAAGAGTGAGTCAACTCTGCTATCTTGAATACCAATAATTGGATATTTAAAGAAAAACAGTTCATGCTGAACGTTGTATGGAATTTATGATAAGAACTGTTAAAAGTAATGAAACAGTTTGCCCTAACTAGTACTAAAGTCTTCCTCGGGGAAATGTTTTCAAACATTTGCCCCTGATTCCTTCTCTTTCTATGGGATTGGACTAGATGACCAATAAAGTACTTCCGAACTCATGCATTCAATGAAGTTTTTTTTTTAATTACTTATTTTAATAAGTGAGTGATTGCCACTCATTTCCATGGAAGAGAAGTCATGGAAAGTACTGAAAGAAAGGTGGGGAAGGAGTTTATGAGTGAAAAGCTTAAGAAATCTTAGCAAATTTCTATAGATAATTAATGTGACTAGTAGTAATTAATGTGTTTATCTGGAGAGATTTTACAGTACAGCATGTTTACTGTTCTTATTAGAAGGGGGAAGGCAGTTGGCTCCCAGCTGCTGCTGAAATTCATGAATTCATGAAGTGATAGGAAGAACCTTGTGTTGCATGTGATAGACAGACCAGGTGACAAAACAGCAGTGGTCAATTACAGTTAACAGAATTGACAGGATGTGTCCTGAGATGGATGTTGTTTCTGTTCTTGAGAATTTAGGACAGAACATTCTCTGATTTAAAGCTGTGACTTCATTACTACAGGGCTTCACTAAGTCAAGAAGAGTTTTTGCAGCATGTTGCTTTTTTGAGTGCCACTTCTTCATGAAATGAACTCTCAGTTGCAGGAAGATGCTTAGCATCCTTTTTAAATTTTCCCCTTGAGTGTCTCCATATTTCCCCAGAGTTATTAACTACATATTGTACTTTGACCT